AAAAAGAAAAATACATTGACAAAAAAATTGGTACAAATTATTTAGATAGCAATTTAATGAATAACCAATCGATAATAATTGCGTAATTGGATTGCACATCTCCATGTATAGTACAAGCGCTTTTTGAATAGATGTTCATTTCTTCGTTTATTTATATCTCGAGGAAACATTTCTCTTTTTTGTCGAATATATTATTGTTATCTTAAGTTAAAATTGCCATGTTTACATGTCAAATGTAATAGAATATATATATATATATATATAAAAAAAGAAGTATTTTCAATTAAAAGCAATGATTTTTTATTTTTTCATTTTTAACAAAATACAGAATAATTTCTGATTTTACATCTACCTATATATATGTCACACTTTGTCAAATTTTTATTACTAAACACCATGATATATTTTATTCTTTCCATCGTTGAATTCTCTTTTATACTAATTGTAAAAATTATAATATCTTTGTATACTTTATTTTATCACATGGTTTATACTACTTTATCATATATTATACTATGTTTATTTTATTCTGATTTTTGCAAGATCTCTGTACAGTTCATCACGTGCATATCGGATAACGACAAGAACTCGTATTGCACAACTTAGAAACAATTTTCTAACGATTGTCAGAAACGCGTTAAAATCGTAAAATTTTATTACACAAAGTACGACACAAAGATAAATCCCTGCTGTGCAAAGACATCTGCAAGAGTCTTGAGAATTTTTTCCGTGGAAGATCGGCCGATAACGTGCCGAGCATGATGATCGAAATAAATAGCGCAAAGTCATCGCACGCATATTTACGCACCTGGCGCATGGTCGTCGACCTGCTACACCTGTATACGCGGTACTTCGTACTTGAATAAATCGTGTAAGAGTGAGTCACAATGCACATCATCTTCCGTAATGCTCATTGTTAGTTGGCAATCTCACAATTTCAGCAGTAGAAAACAATTTCTTAAGAAGACTCGTATCTTCGTACTCTTTTGGAGATGATACTGTGTTTCAGTGCAAATGATAATTTTATTAAAAATTAAATATTATTCAATTACAGAATTATTTTTTTCACACGTGAATATATATTATAGTACAATATTAAATTGTCATAATATTATGCAATAATTGATTGTTACATAATTATCATATTTGATTAAGTTAAAATATTAAATTATTTCATTTAATTATATTTAATTACAGATTATGTAAAACAATCTGTAATTAAATATAATTAAATTATTGTTAATTAAATATTATTAGAAATCTCCTTCTTTCTTGTTAACAATAATTATGCGAAATTATTTTTTATTTATTTATTATTTTTTATTAATTGTATTGATTATGTATAGTAAAATGTCTTTGCTTAAATAAAATTTTAATTACAAATTTATTTGCCAATATTGTATATTAAAAATTAATATCAAACTAATGTATTTGATTATATTTTTGCAAGAGAAAGTTTTGCAAAATCAATATACAATCAGTATACTCTTACAAAACACACACTTTCAAAAAACATCTTTATCCTTACAATGTCTCTCCAATAAAGTGCTAAGGTCAAATCGATAATATAATTAATATTACATAATATCCTAGATAGCAAAATATCAACAGACTAGTAGCAGATTTGATCAGAAGATGTTAGCAGACTAATCACAACTGATGTCGCATTTTGCTCCTGTTCTGCCGACAGAAACTGTTAACATTCTATGTAAACAGACTATAGGCAGTAGAAATCAAACAGAATCTGCTGACAGAATCTGATAGCAGAAACCGAGCAAGTCTGCTGATATAACTTGACAGCAGATTGGCAGCAAAAACCGAGCAAGATCTGTCATTTTCATTTAAATGATCTGGTTTTTTATAAAAAATTTTACGTACATATATATAAATATACGTAATTATATATTTATATATTAGGTGTTGGAATTAATTCGTAGCGTTTTTTAATGAAAGAATGTTATTTATTTCACATGAGCATTAAAAAATACATTAATGAAAGTACTTCCCATCACTTGTAAAACGCTACGAATTAATTCCAACACCTAATATATTGGTGTGAAACAATTAATACAATTTTATTGCTAAAATATTATTGATTAGCTTCCAATCACATTCCAAAAAAAAGAAAAAAAAACATATGAAAAAATTATAAAATAGAAAGTCAAAAAAATTTGAAGATTCAGAAAGCACACTCCGAAAGAACTTGAAAATCTCTAAGAGATTTGCCTATTTGATTTACATATACCAATTCTTACAGAATTCCTGGACGTTTTCCTTCTTACGAGAAGCAAGTCCATCTCGTGCCGAGGCCGTACAAAATGGCAGATATTCCAATATAGAACCAATATTCAGCGATTTTTAATAATAAATATCTTGTTAACTCGTTCATTGCAAAAATTGCAAAATGGTAGAGGGCTTTTCGATTCAGTTTAGTTATATTTATACAAAATCGGTTGTCAAAAACTTACGGGATACTCGTTATATAATTGGTTAAATGAATCCGTATCTGAAAATACTTTATTAAAGAATTATGAAGAATAAATAAGTAAATAACAAAACTTATTCTTATACTTAAATTAATAAAATAAACGTCAGTTGTTATCCCATTTCTAAATTATCTTTATTTATTTGTAATATTACAAAATTGTAAGATTAATAAATAATCGAGATCAGAAATTATGTAATAAGAAATTATGTAATAATCTATGAGAATAGTTTCGTTAGCAAATCACTGAACTGCAATTAAGTGAAATTTATCGATAAAATTAGATTAAATAAAAAAAAATCTTATTTTTGATCAAATCGAATCTTGGTGCTTAATAATATTCATATGCAAAACAAATATGTTTTTCAGTTCTATAAGCTGATTTCATTTATCAGACTTGCAACGTAATCATGAACTGAAGCTAGATATCACATCATAAATTGACTGAAAATAAGATTATTTCTCTTTTTTTATTAATTCATTGATCTTTTATAATTTTTTAATCTTTGAATATAATTTTATAATATTCTAATAGCATTTTTGGATATGGTTTTATATAAACTTTTTAAATTTATTCAACTTCTTTAATAGATATATTAATTTAATCTTTTTTTGGATATCCTATGTATAAATAACACAACATGTCAAATACGTGTACAATATACATCAATTTGCGTAATTCATTTCCTAAATAACGTTTTGCCGGCATTTTGCTGAAAATTTGCTTAAAATATTGCAAGCAATTTGCCAACAAGATGAGTCTTCATTTGATGCAGTATTGCAATCAAAGGAATACACAAACTGTAGTAGAGTAACTTTACAGTAACTTTATGGTAACAATTGTGATGATAAAAGTATTTGATTATGACAATATTTTGTCAAAGGTGAAACAATTTTGCTTATTATCAAAAGTACAAATGTTAATTTGGTAAAATTATGGCAACACGCAAGCAAAATTTTATTTAGCAAATGTTTTTGCCATTATCATAGCAATATTACGACAACATTAGCAAATAAATTACACTGCTTTGCTTTTGCACGAAATGTTATCTGAATTATACATTAATTACAAAAAACGTCGCTGCATATTTATTAGCGTAAAAATATATGATATAAGCAGAAGAAATCGATTATTTTCAAATATCCTTGCAAATATTCCACTAACACTAATATTATTTTTAATTCTATTAATAATTGAATTAATACTCTTTTTTTTTTCTAAATCATTCACTGTATGCAAAATAAGAATATAATACAGCTAAAAATACATCACATAAATAACAAGACTTTATAAGGCTTCAGAAAAAATTATATAATCATCTTGACCTAAGATTTATTTTTATCATATAAGCAGGTAAGATTGGAAATAAATTATGCAAAAAAATATTGTTCTGTATAATTTTCTTAATCGTGTTTTTTTTTATTCTAAACATATTGCTCTTTTATTTTACATTACTTTTCCTCTTCTATTTTATATATTACTCATGTTTATTTTTTTGCAAAATAAAAATAATGCGGAGAGAGAGGGAGCAGGGAGGAGGGAGGGGAGAGGGAGAGAGAGAGAGAGAGAGAGAGAGAGAGAGAGAGATTGCGTTATTAAGCGCTCTGGGACAAGTCCACTTAAGCGTCATGTTTATTATTTCAAATAAAAGTTGAATAGAGAAGTAATAGATAAAGAGAGTCATCGATATTAAACGCGTTCCAAACGAACTAGCCTGCTCGCCGAGCGATTGATTGGTTGGATCTACAAGTAACAACCAATCAAGTTCATTAGCTCGACAAACAGACTAACTAGTTTGTCGACTTAAAAATAATATTAAAAATAATATTAATATAGCCATAAAAGCGCTCATTAATATAGCCATAAGAGCGTTTTTTCAAAGTTCACAATTTTCAATACCTTATTATAAGGCGATCTGTTATGTATTCGCACTTTATTTTTCGATCGTTGGGATTATAACAATGAGGGTAGTCCTTGATTTAGACCAATCTGGTCTGACTACCTTATCAGAAATTACTCTGTCACATTAAAATTGCAGTTTCTTGGATGGCCAGCCACACATTTAAGCAAATTTATCAAGTATGCTTGCGCAACCTGATTATGTAAATTTATTAGAACGTATAGATGACAAAAAACTACACAGTTATCACAAAGTACCACACACATTCATACAATTTATAGAAACATACTTAACAAATTTGAACGTATGTGGCCGGCCTGAAGCCTCTCTGCTTTCCGATTGCGGCAACAGTTGACATTGTCGCATCTCTACGAGTCATCGCTTTTAATTTCGCTCGACTTTAAAATTTCCGTCGATACAGTTTTATCAGTTTTACAGCATTTTAGGTGTGTTCATTATCATCGTGGTCCAGAAGATTTGACACGAACAATCTCTAAAGTCTGCTGCATAGATTCGCCAAGACTTTTCCATCGTATGTTTTTACATTACGTAAGATTTTTTATTTAACAATAATTATCAAGGAGAGATTGTGGAATAAGTGGGGGATACCACGATATCTTGTATAATTTATGCTCTGGGACTATTGAAGTTACTTTTAGTCTGCTCAGACATTAATATATAGTAATATATGGCCACTGGACGTTAGTGTTTACTGCATCGTAGTAATAGATGCATATTAGTTTTGCAAGTAGCAGATAGTGTTACAGGTGTGTACTTTTTACATATGTTTAGTATTAATTTTGTAATTTGATTTTGAAAGCCTTGAATGTGACTTTCAAATATATGATATAATAATTAGGGCTCGACATGATTTGCACTTCTCGGCCGATTTTCGACTCAGTTCCGCCTTCCGTTACTCTTCTTATCAAATGATCCCACGCGCAGAGGCGATAAGATGAGAACTGTAGCGAAAGACAGAGCCGAATCGAAAATCGTGCTGAAAGCACGATTAAATTAATTAATGGATTAAATTAATGGAATTAAATTAAATTAAATTAAATTTGATAATGAAATGTGTGCATATATCTGATCTATAAAGTTACTACTAAATACATATTTGTGTGTCCCTCTTCTATTCTATATAATTGCAACCGTTTTCACTTTTTCATTTTTTTTTATAAATTATATTTATTTTGTATCTGAAAAACTTCTATAGCATAATTGATATCACTCTATTATAGCTAATACACTTATACCGAAATAGTTATATCACATACAATAATATTTATCTCAATAACAAAACATTTATGAAATTATATGAAATATTCTTTTTGACATAAAATTTGTGATCTGTGTGACAATTATGTATATTACATATATTTACAAAAATAAATATAGAAGTTATATCTTTTGACTTTTACGTAAAAATGAAAGTAAAAGGAATAAATCTACAATGACCTCGATAAATGTTATCAAGATCATGATTCTGCACACCGTTTAAAAAGTTTCGATTAGAATGGATAATGCTAATTCTTGGCAGTATCTGAATATTCTGAACTTTATCAACTTATATCTCGAGAGATACTTAATTAAAAGAAATTTTATTATAGTATTTTAAAAAGATCTTGATATCAGAATACCAAAATATTAAATTTAAAAAGTAGGGATTTTTGTTTAAAATTTTAAAATTGACTTTAGAAGCTCCATATAGTTGCATTCAAAATCAAATGGATATCGCCATTTGATGCATTTGTTGAAATCTTTCGCACAAAACATTTTTTTCCCAGTAGCTTTGCTCTGCACTAAATTTCAATATAAACACATGATGCAATTATTTGTATTGCTTCGTTGATGTATTGCACCGCTCTTATCGTTTATCACTGGTGCAACATAAACACAAACTTAGGAAAGTTTTCTAATTATATTGGGTGGATCCATATATTCGTTCGGTTTTTGTTAGTAGTGCAAAAACGGAGAATCATATCATTGATTAAAATTCATTCTTTGTATGAAAAAAACTTGTTTCATTTTACCTTCAAAAACCGAACGAATATATGGATCCACCCAATAATTTAATTTTATTGCGTTCTTTTCACATTTATTTAGCGTGATATTTAATATGTTTTTATTTGAAAACTGTCTTGATTAATGCTTTATCGGTGCGTCTTAAGACATTATCTTAATGTCTTAAGGTAATGTCTTAAGACGCACCGATAAAGCTTTTTGATAGTTCATAACATTGCGAAATTGTACTTAAAGCAGTCTTAAAAATATAAGAATCGGCTATAAATATTAACCTTAATAACACTTACATTATCAATTACTTACAAAAAAAATTTAATTAATGATTAAATGAAGACGTTGCAGACTTTTAAGAAGAGATGCAATTTATTTCATCCTTTTGACATTAAAAGCGTTCATCTTATTAAATACGTATCTAATTAGCTCAATGTAGACAAGTAGCATCCGTTGCTACCCAGGTTGAAATGTATGCCAGTCTCACGGTAATATGATTGTATTATAATGATGATTCTGTGAAAGAGAGAATATATATATCTAAGACCGATCGTACTTTAATCTTAAGTACTCCTTCCACAGTATATGTAACGCAATATTCTTGTCTTGATCACAGCTTGCCATTTAAAACTGGAAAATCGCGCAAACTGATAAAAAGAATCATCGAGAACATAGTTTACGTACGAAAAATATGGATAAGTTGAAAGAAAATACCGTTGATATGTTACGTTGTGAGTAAAAACATGTGATAAAATAGTGGTGGTGGGATGGGACGCTTTCCTGCTTATAAAGTTTAAGCGAAGATAAAAGCCGGATGTTGTGTTCTTAAACAAATGTGATATGTGTATATATATATATATATATATATATACACATATCACATTTGTTTAAGAACACAACATCCGGCTTTTATCTTCGCTTAAACTTTATAAGCAGGAGTAAACAGATATCGCAATTAAAGTTCTTACTCTTGCATAAATTATCATTTAGTTTGAACAAATAATGGTAACGCAGATATATATGTCATAAATATACATCCTAAACAGTGCACAATATTTATAAAAGATTGTAAATATTTATAAAAATTTGTAAATATTTATAAAACTTAATTTAAATATTTTATAAATATTTTTGTGATTTTATAAATGAAACATTCCACATCAAACAGGACATCTTTGAATTACTGTCATTTTTAATTTTTATTTAATTTGTTGACATTCTACAGATAAAAATAAGATTCGTGTTTCGTGAAAAAAATTTGAGATCTTTTTGTAAAGTTATTCACGCTTGCAAGTTGCAGAAATCCATAAAAAATGTCGCTCATGCGAACATAAAAAAATGCAAGAGATCAATTTTAAAGATCTGAAATTGACGTCTATTAAGCTGACCTCTTCAGTACAATCGAACGCAAACTATACACTTTTTAAACAATAAATATCAATACGTAGTCGAAATTTAAAATAGTATTTTACATTCAAAATTTGTGTAATTCAATTATAAGTTTTGTAATCAAATATAACTACTCGCTAAATATCTTGCGTTCGTGGAATGCCCGTTATCTTTCCGTTTATACATTTTTTTGCTTTTATTTTACTAATTATTTGCTTTATTCCTATTATTTGCTTTATTTATGGACCTTTTTGCTCCAGCCGATTCGCTAAAACTCATGGCTGTGCTGATTTAAGACTAAAGTTTATAGCACAGTCATAAAGAAAACAAGCAGCAAATAAAAAATCAAATATATATTTTTGTAAGACTATTTTTTTCGTATACGGAATCATGCCGTCACATAACAAAATATTTTGACAATATATTCCATTCGAGTTCCATTTTCAGGATTTTATAATTGAAATGGGAATATGATGATATTTACAAAATTTTTAAATTGGTAAGTTGATAATGAAAAATGTTAATAAAAATTGTAAACAAATGGAAATTAGATTTATTTATATATAAAAATGATAAATTAAAAGTAACCCTTTTATAGAACAATTAAAAATTTTTTTAATTGGTCTCTTACATTTTTTTATAACTAATGATTTTTTATAATAAATATTTATGCCATCCATATTTGAATTTTACGTCAAACCGAGCACCTTTGAAACATCGTTATTCTGAACTTTTTTTTTAATTTGCTGACGTATTATATAGATAAAAATATAAGGCACGTATTTCGCGAAGAAAATTTGAAATTTTTTTATGAAGTTATTAAACTTGTATAACTAACTTTTATAACTAATGATTTTGATGATATAATAATTTGAATGTTCGCATAAGCGATTTTTTAAAATGAATTTCTGCAATTTACAAGTTTAATAACTTCATAAAAAAATTTCAAATTTTCTTCGCGAAATACGTGCCTTATATTTTTATCTATATAATACGTCAGCAAATTAAAAAAAAAGTTCAGAATAACGATGTTTCAAAGGTGCTCGGTTTGACGTAAACTTCAATATAAAATATGTATAAAATATTTATATAACATTTGAAAAATAAATAGTAATAAATAGTATAAATACTTATCACAAACATTCTGTGCTATCTGGGATTCAAACAATTACATTTACTTTCTATTTTATCGTCTTAAATTTTATCACGTCAAACGACAATTAAAATTTCGTAAGTAAATCCTTTCCAGAATAAAAGAGAAAATACATATATAATACATGTACTTTCTTTTTATGGAATTGTTTAACTTTCTTATTATTGAAAAGCAACGAAGAGCAACAAGTAGAACATTGTGCATTCAGTGAAATCTCATTAGAAAGAATCTAATATTACTAATTCAACCATTGATTAGATTGATACATTAAACAGTGACTATAAACAATAAATTTAAGAAAAAATATAATGCATAATTCCGAATTTAAATATTAATTAAATTAGCTAGAGATTTAATAGATATAAAGACCTGCCAAAAAGATAGTACTTTTGAACGGCACGCATGGATCATTCATGTACACTTGATCTTAAATAAAGCTCTTAAATTCTCAAAAAATTCTATAAAAATTTACACAGATTCTTTAAGATCTCTATTAAATTATTTTGCTATGTAGATACTGGAAAAGTACAGAAAATTTTAATATTTGTTAAAATTAAAATCATATAAATGGGAACACCATACAACACTCTGTAATCACAGAGCATAGAATTGCGATTTTGATTGGAATGACATCAAAATTTTAAACAAAGAACAAGAGTTTAATAAAAGACTAATTTTGGAAACGATATAAAAAAAATATAAATGAAAAAAAAAGGACTTAATATGCAAAATGACATGGAATTGCTGAATTATATCATGATTTAATTTAGAGAAAATGGATGAGTTTTTGTTTATAGATTATAAATTTGTATCTTTTTTTGGTATTCATTTTATTTCTATATTTTATAAATTTGTATCATCGAGTTTGCGCTAGTTAGTGCTAAGTTATATTTGCTGGAATATTTATAAACACTATGTAATGTAAAACGTCTGACACGCTCTCAAAACTTAGTTATAATTACATCGCATTATAACATCGATCATCGCTGAGTACAATGTAAGTTTTACAACTGATACAATTCATATCAATTTTAATATTTTCACTACGATTAAAAGTTTATAAATTTCATATATTAACTCGATTTTAGTTAAATTCTTGTTTGTATCCAGCTAAGTACAACAGACAATAATAAAGTTCTTAATTTTGGACTACAGCCTAATAATTCACTGGCAGCATTTACCTTATTGTTTTTATAACGCATCAATTTTGATTCCAATGACTTATTGTTGACTGAAGATGACCTAATCCTATGGTCGAAACGTCTGTAATTGGTGATTGACATATATATTATTTTTTATTACACACGTACAACTGTACGGATCTCATTGGCTTTATTGATTTAATATTTGTGCTAATATGTGCGATTATTATATTTGTATGCTGTTATTATTTTCATTGGGTATATATCGGCGAAATGTAAGATGGAAGAGCAATATGCGAATATTTATAAAAAATAAATAAAATATTCATTAATCTTCGACGTAATACTTACATACGTAAGTCATTCATGTTTATGCACTTTCTAACATTCCTATACCTGCGCATCTGACTCTATGCCACCCCAACTTTTTTCCAATATCTACATAGCAGAATAATTTAGTAGGGATCTTAAAGAATCTGTGTAAATTTTTACAGAATTTTTTGAGAATTTAAGAGCTTTAAAATCAAGTGTACATGAATGATCCATGCGTGCCATTCAAAAGTGCTGAAAATACGATCGAGAATTAATCATCAATGAAATCTCTCTTGTAACTAATTCAATCAGAGAGATTTGTATTAATTCAATTTATCAAAGCAATAAAAATATTATTTAATGAAAGTAAAGAGCTAAATTAATGTATGTAGGCAACCGAGCTAGGCAATAATACATGTAGGCAGTCAAACTGTAGGCAATCATTTTTGTGCACAAATGAACTATCGGCAAAAGTAACGTATGCAAACAATACTGTATGCCAGTGTAGGCAATCGATTTATAAGCGAAAAGAACTATTTTGCTTATTAGCACTTATCTCTATAATTTTTTCTCTATTATCAGTTCCAATAATAAGAGCTGAGAAAAGCACGTCATACTCTTACTGTGTGTGCCGTAGTTTAAATCAGGAACTCGGATCGAAAGGTTTTTTTCGGTTTGGTTTCGGTTCCGGTTTAATAAAATACCAAATAAATATTCCGGTTTCAGTTTTGATTTTTTTTTATCAGTAAAGAAAACTTAAATTACGGTTTTTAACGGTTTTTTTTGTTCTATTTACTTACTTTATTCTATTTATTCTTTAATTCATTCTATTAAGAAAAGGGAAGGAGAGGGGAAGGAAAAAGAGGAAGAGAGCGTGTTCACCCCATCAATCTAGAGCAGGGCTCAACACCATTTGCACTTCTCGACCAATGTTCGACTCAGCTCCACTTTGAAGCAACGCGTATGATTGAATGCCTATGCGTTGCTTCATTCTATACTTTGTTTAACGAGAGAATAATCTCGGATCGGACGAAAACTCGTCCGTTTTGTGCAGTATAGCATACTTCATAGCGTTGTATAGCATAACATTGCCTGCTATGGCTATGTATAAACCGAGGTAATTCTCTCGTTGAGCGAAGTATATCTTAGTTATGTTATATACGAAAAAAAAAAGATAAATTGAAGTTAACAGCGTGAGCGCCTAAAATGGATGGATCTCATGTCTACGAACGTTATACGCTTCTAAACGTCGAACGAGGCTGCGTTCAGATATTACGCCCTGATAACTATAAGTTATATGAGTGCGAACGTGACATAGCAGGCAGTGCATGAGACTGCTATGCCAGAGATCTCGGGTCGATCTCAGGCAGAATCGAAAAATGTTTTCGAAACACTCGTAGCTCGTCTCGGAAGGCAATAAAAAATCACCGAGAATATCTCTTGCCAAGAGCACTTCAGTACTTTGAAGTTATCTAAACATAATTCCTGAACGCAGCCCAGCATTGGATTTGGATTGCGTGCGGGGTGAGAAGAGTAATGGAATTTAAGACGAAGCTGAGTCGAAAATCGGCCGAATGAAGTGTAAATCGGTGAGAGCCTAGTCAAAAATAGGCGTCAACTGATTACGTGATTCTGTAGAAAAACTGTGTTACAAAAAACATTATTTTGAACACATTTCTCTCGGTTCTTTCTTAAAACTTATTTTATTAGATATATCTCATTTATTACATAAAGTCTACATATGTATTCTTAAATTTCATAACTTAGAATAAATTCTTGCAACATGTTGGTAAGAAAGATCTAAATAAAAAGAATGCTAGTAAAAAAGTTTACATTAAATATGATCCCGCCAGATCTCTTATATCATATGAGGTGTTGGAGATATTTGCATTTTAATTATTAAAAGAGTTGGTGACGGTGGTACTGGATTAAACATTGGTGATTTAGACGAAGGAACGAATAGAACAAAAATTAAGAACAAGGATAAAAATAAAAAATTAAGAGCCAAAAAGAATTATAAAATTTTACCAGTTTGATTACGGTTCCGGTTCACTAAAAAAAAAGGATTCCAGAACGGTTTTCGGTTCCAATTTCAATTTTGTCCGAGTCTCTAGTTTAAATAGTAAGAACTTAACTACAATTCGTTTATTTGGAACTGATTAACTTGTTTAAATGATAGATCCAGATAATCAAAATTCTAACATATTACTTCTGCATGTACAAAATTATCGCACTAAATACACCGTTTACCTTGGTAAAACTTTTGTTTTTATTTATTTAGGCGAAGTCAAAAAAATCTTTAATATGTCGAAAACTAGTACAATACCTGGTTTGGCTTATCTGCCGGCGAGAGATAATCCGTCAAAAACCGCGATGGGTTTTATCAATGCTAGAAAAAAAGTCGACGGCGCGGAAGGATTATGGAGGATCGAAAACAAACTTTATGATTTGGAAACTTTCATGAAATCACATCCAGGTGGATCTGAATGGATTTGGATCACGAAAGGAACCGATATCACTGAATTGTTCGAGGTATTGAATTGAATCCATTCCAGAATGAATTATAATTCATCTTAGACAACATTATCATAATCAATCAATTTTTTGCTCGAAGTTATCAATCATTGTATTTTTAATAGTTGTTACTAATTATTATTTATTATATTATTATTATTATAATATTTTTATAATGATTTTTATACAATTGCTTTTCAATAATTTTATTTATATATAAACTCACGGCTGTATAACTTTCTATTCGCTCTATTTCTTTCGTTTCAATATTATATAATTTGCAATATTCCCCTTGAAAAATTTGAGATCCACCGCTACGATTCTCGTGTTCAGAATTTTGAATTTTAACATTGATTTCGGCACGTAGGCCCACCACATTACCGACAAGGCTGAACAGCTTTTGCCCAAATTTTACGTTCGAGAAGCTGCAACACCGCGGTCGGTGCCTTTGACCTTCTTGCCAGACGGCTTCTATCGTACATTCAAGAGACGGGCAACCGAGGCTTTGAAGAAGGTCAATTTTCATAAATCCTCTACAACGACGAATCTCATCACCGATTCCTTAGTGACAGTGACTTTCGCGTTAAGTCTTATGGCCGCCTTCGTCCACTCCTATGTTATTCTGAGCCTTGCCAGTAAGAAACCATGAAATCTATTTGACGTGTGTGTGTGTGTGTGTGTGTGTGTGTGTGTGTGAATTATAATTAAGGTATAAATAAATTAGCTAAAGAATTGAAATTGTAAAGATATATTCGTTAATAAGAGTAAAAATAATAATAATTGCTTAAGAAATGTTAAAAGCAACGATGAGTTTTAAATGAATATATTTATTAATTAATTAGCTCTATATTAATTATAATTATTTATAATTATTAAGTGTGAATGCATTAATCAATTGATTTATTTCATGACAATTTTAGGCCTTTTTTTGACATGGACGACTAACGCAGCACACAATTATTTCCACATGAGAGACAATTTCCGTATGTATTACTTCGATCTAAGTATGCTATCTTCGAAAAATTTCCGCATCACGCACGCAATGAGCCACCACATGTACCCCAACACCATATGGGATTATGAGATGTATGTGGTCGAGCCGTTTGTACAATGGATGCCTCGAAAGGATAAATCCTACTTAATGGGAATGATAAGCAAAATTATCAGTCCTATCGTTTGGATGTTAATGTATATTATAGAAGGCATAAAACGGTAATAGAATCATTTCATATTCTTTTGTTACAATTAATAGAAAGGTTTTTCGCGCTTGTATCTTCACTTTGAATGCTTAATTAAACAGCTGTTGTGTTAATTCTAATTTTGATATCGCGTTTGGCGCCGAAAAATTTGCTGAATGGATTTCCACTTCTGTCTCTCGTGCTAAAAGATTTGATTATTTTTAGATACTATTTAGTGTATACGGAGTATGGGGTTTTCGAATTTCGTGATTTCATCCCATTCTTGCTGCCTATATCGATGAGTTTGGTGGCACCCAAGATTCTCATTGCCTTAAAGCTGTGGTTGATAATGTTGCTGATTAGTAGCACTTTATTCGGCCTAATCGGCTTCAACGCGGCCCATCATCATCCTGACATCTTCCATGATGGCGATATTTACAGGTTACACATCATTCGCATTTTATTCATAATAAATCATTGAATCAATCAGATCTATCTATCTATCTTTAGAATCGATTAGATCTATTTGTTTTCCTCCATTGAAAAATAATTCAAGTAAAATAATTTAGATTAATTTAATTTAAAAAAAAGGAATATTAATTTAATTTTAAATTTAGATCTATCATTAATACAATATTGATTTCATTTTCATACAACTTCGATTTCATCTTTAATTCTCCAATTTCGGTTTGGAATAAAATTAATCCGCCTAGCATTAATCTCAATTTTAATTTCGACGCAATCTTAATTTCTTTTTCAATAACAAAACATTTTTGTTGCTTTGCAAAATGCTCTCAAAGGAAATTTTTCCTAATTTTTCCAATTATTACAATATTTCCAAGAAATGACATGGACTGGGGTTTGCTCGAGTTGGACGCCGTGCGTGATCGTGTGGATATCGACAAATCATTATTCCTAATTATTACGCACTACGGCTCGCACACGTTGCACCATCTGCTACCCACCGTGGACCATCACTATTTGCCATTATGCGTGCCTGCTTTTCTGAAGACGTGCGAGGAATTTAACGTCAGCCCGGATAAGTGGACGCAATGGAAGCTTCTGAAAGGACAATTCAGGCAGATCATGCGAACTGAAGTGAAGAAGAATCACAGATAATGCTCATCTTTAATAAAATAGCGTGCTCAATCGCGGATGTTGAATTGTTATGTGCATTACATACAATTTCTCACGTATCAGTTTATGATGTAAGCATAAGCACTTCGGGCACAAATATGTTTCATACAGCATATTTTATACAAGAGATATCTTAGTCTTAAGACATTCAGAGGATATACAGACATCCTTTGGACATCTTTAGAAGGTCTATACTGTGTAGAATGTAAACTAGATAACTAAAGTAGTTAAACTATGTGCACAATTCTAAATAAGATTAATTTTATGAGTTGAAGTGAAACTCAAATCTGCATATAAAGTAGAAAAATAAATTGAAAATGATAATTCTATTTCATTTCAAGAAACGAAAAAAATTACAGGAATATCTCCACTTAAAATATCTTTATTTATAAAAACTAAAAATTATTTTTTATGATTATTTTGTTGTATAATTGTGTTATGTAATAAATTAAACCGATAATTAAACAATTAAAAGATTTCTTTTCGTTTATGATGAAGATCAATACTTGATGTGTAACTTATAAGGTTGGAGCACAGAATAAAGGCTGAAGATTGACTTTGCATAACGCATAATGCATAAAGTTTAAGTGAATCAATCAATCAAAATCTTTCCTTTTCATGAAATGACTCTGATTAATTATCTTATGGAGTTATTATCTAAATAAGTTATTATCTAAATTTTAAGTCTTAAATTATGAGAAATTAACCAATCACAGTCGAATACGAGAAGAATAACTGATAGATAAATTTCTTATAGCTTAAGACTTAAAGCTTAGGTAGTGACTTATTGTAGAAAGCCTATTATACTTTATGTATTATGCGTTTGCAAAGGTTTGTGCTCCAGCTTTTACTCTAGAATCTTGGATTTTATGAGCGGATGATTGACAAACGGGGCAATTTAGTTCTTATCTTTATTTATTGCTTATTTACTTTAATAAATACATACTTCGTCTCTCTTTATAAATTACAATTAAGTTTATAGGATACGATATCATTCGGATGACACGTGTAATGATACGCGCTGTTGATCAAATCGTTCATCGCGACTCGCTTTCGTTCTGCTTCTCGCGAGTATATCCTTGTTCTCTTTTCTCGATCTCGTTTTCAATTTGCGCTCTTTTGTTCATATATGTTTTTCGCAACTCGCGAAAGCGTGTATTCATAAATATATTCGTCGCTCTGTTCCCCCCCCCCCCTTCGTCTTCTGTGTATGCGTATGTGTGTAAATATTAATATATCTGTGTCGCGCTGGCTCTCGCCCTCTCATCGTCCGCTCGCGTGTCCTCTCGCTCGATCTCTCTCGCTCACCCACTCTCACTCTCCCAATCTCTCCCTCTCTTTCTCTCTCTCCCTTTCTCTCCCTCGACTGTCAGCTCGAGTGGTGAAGAAAAACGCGTCCTCGCCTCTCTTCACTCTCACCCTCAATCCTCTCCTTCTCAAGCGAGCGCTAATTTTTCCACTTTTTCTCTTTTTGACCGATTAAACAAAAACATTTATTATTCGAGAAAAATGACGAGAATTCAATGATCCGGATGTGATGATACTGATTGATCGATCGCTCGATTGCGAGATGACGATGCCGTTGAGAGCTCCGAGCGAGCTCTCGGATTCGTTACATATACATATATTCTTCGTATCTTCGTTCGACGATGAATTTCGATGAGGACAATGATGTTTTTCCTCCTCCTCTTCTTCTTCTTATATTCCGGATGTTTTTTTTACTGTTGAATTTTTGATTCTTTTTTTTTTTGGTTGCTTTTACTAATTATTTACGCGAACCTCGGAAGGAGCTTTACAGTTCACCATCGGGCTGCATGTCGAAGCCGGGAAAACGGCGAGGTAATAGGGGACCATCAAATTCAGGTTTTAACACAGGTCGGTGTGGCTGAAAGAATAGAAATACAGAACTGTGAATTTCTTGCGAGTAATATATATAAATATGGAGAAATATTCCGGCAAATTTTATAATAAAATTTTGTACGAACTTATATAAGAAGGAAAAAAGGGGAAAAAAAAAGGAGTGAGTGACACGTTCTCTGTGTCGTTCCTGTTTGTGATCCAATGTTCTTTGTTTTTCTAACCCCCTGCACTCGAAATGCGCGATTGGGAATCGCAATGACGCACCGAGGGTCGTGACACCTCTATTTTGCCGCGTGATAAACGCAACATGTGCATTTCTTTTAAAAATGGGACATTTATCTCAGACACTCGTAACTGGTGAAGTATTAGTTACATTTCTTTGTTTTTGAAAAATCGAAATTAAATCGCAGTTCCTGTTGATAGCGAACTGTCAGCGTAATGTTAAATATAATTTCAAGATCAGCAATGACGATGTACATTGGCGAGGACACTGGAAGAATCTACCTGCATTAAAAAGAATCGAATAGACGAAAGTCTGATTCAAATAAGAGCGAGTGTGAATAAAAGAAACTGAAATAAATCACGAGAATTTGAGGAAATTGATACGTAACAGAAATGTATAAAATTATTTGTGAATCTAAAAAAAATTTATTTATAAAAAGAAATATCTAATTTGTTGTGTTGGATTAGCGAGAAGTATTAAAAATGTGCCAAATACTATGCTTTAAGTGGAAACCGATATAATAATAATTGCACACTTAAGAAATTGAAATTTTTAATTTATCCGTATATCTAAAAAACAGTAAAAGTCATCGTGATAAATTTATCTCTTAGATTATCTAACTTTTTGGACAACTATATTAATTTAATGTTTATATTGCAAATTTTATGTGAGGTCCTGGGAACGTTCTTAAAAGATAGATATCTTTTAGAACATAGGACGTCTTCTAAACGAGTTTAAAAGGTCAATGTTGTACGTATCAATATTCAATAAATAAATAAACCAGTCCAATTTATTTCTCAAATATTAGTTGATTCCGTTAGCTACTTTTTCACACACAGCCGATGCTCGGCTTCTAACTGCTCTAATTTCTAACGGCGTCTATACGACGTCTACCAACTCGCAAGTAAATATTGTACAGAAAAAAGGACTAGGTGTGCGATTTACACAAAGTTAATGACGAAGAGCGAGCTCGGGCCCACCTGAGAGAATGTTATCGGACACACAGGTGCAAACGAGACAATGATGGATGCAAGAGGGAGTCTCTACCGCGCGTGTTCCTGTCGCGTTTTGTAAACTCCTGCTTGTAATCTCTCTTTCTCTCTCTCTCTCTCTCTCTCTCTCTCTCTCTCTCTCTCTCACTATTCAGCCAACTATTTTCTTCTCTTTCTAAGTAATCGTCACACATCCCACGCGCTTACGACACCCCACGTGCACGGACTTACATGGACCAAGCGCGATGTGTGTGCGTCTATTCCAACATGGAGGGCACCGCTTTACGTTTCTGTTGCGGCTGCACACAGGAAGACACAGATCGCTAATTAGATACTACATCATCGTCGATCTGTTCCCTAACATCGCTTCCCCTTAATCCCAACCCCGTAATCGAGCTTTGAGATTTGCAATCACCGAGCCTATCTTTTGTCTATCGATTTGAAACTAATCTACGATCAACTTCCAATCTTCTCGATGACAAATAACTTTACTTTTTTTATTGTGATATCTAATACGTGTATTCTCAATATGACAAGATGTAACATATATTTTGAATTTGCAATAAAATACAAGTTGCTAAACTAAAATTCTTCTTGATCAAAGCTAAAAAAAAGCAAATTAATAAAATTAGATAAAGTAAAATTAATAAAATTTAATTTAATTTAAAAATCAATTCACTTCAAACTAAATAAAGATTCCTTTGGATGATTATATAAATATATCTATTATTTTATTATCAAGAATAAATTACTTTGAAGACTATTTCAAAAACGATATTTTTTGGAATTTTATCTAAATATCCATGTTAATCTTTAATTCGCAATGTTACTGTTTTTTTTTCTTAAAATTCTTCTGCAATACTATAAAATTAAATTTCTAGTCAATAGATATTCATGGAAGATATTCAGCAACAGAAAAATTAAAAATGAAACGGAAGTGACATTGCACTTTTGACATCGCGAATTAAAGATTAAATTCAAAGATGATGATAAGGTTGTCATGGTTTAACAGCTTACCGCTGGGCTAAGTCCACGCGCGGCACTTCCGCCGCGTCCCTTGGTGCGGAACTTGGTGATTGCTTGTTCAGCGAGGTCCGCCCTCTCCTCAGCTTCCTCGAGTTCTTGTTGCGCCTTGCGGAACTTGGCAAGATTCAACGCGGCAATTTCCTCCGCCTCCTCGATCTGCCTCTTATACGTCTTGATCTTCTGCTGAAGCTTGTCAACCAGATCCTGCATGCGCTCGTGATTCTTACGATCCTCATCCGCCTGGAAATGAAAAGAAAACATGGGATCACTTCAATAAGACTCCTTCATGCTCGGTAAGTGAATCAGATTGATGATAAAATCAAATCAAATAAATAAAAAAATAATTAAATTTAAAAGTAAAAGGTTCAACATCTTGTGATAAATGTCCGACGTCTCTCTTACTGATTACGAAAATATTAATCTATTTAAAAAAAAAAAACAAAATATGTAGATTAAACTTCCTATTCGAATAAATTTATAACAAATCGGAATTCTACCTGGAAGCTCAGCTCCTTGATGCGGCGCTCGGATTTGCGCAAATTCTTCTGAGCGTCGGCATGTCTCCTTTGTTCGCCATCGAGCTCGTTCTCCAACTCGCGCACGCGTTGTTCCAACTTCTGAATAGCCTTCTTGCCGCCTTTGAGGGCATTCGCCTCGGCCTCGTCCAGGCGTACTTGCAACTCCTTGATCTGCGTCTCCAAAGCCTTGCGCAGCTTCTCCTGAGTCTGGGCATGATCCTGCTCGGCGCGTAGCTCGTCGGCCAACCTGGCCGCATCCACCATCGCCTTCTTCGCCTTCTCCTCCGAGTTCTTTGCCTCGTTCAGCAACTCGTCCAAGTCGGACTAATGGGTAAAGAAATGCAAGCTGTGTAAACCACTTATCCCCCTTTTATAAGAAACGTTTTATTAAATTATAGAAAATTAATCGATACTCACGTGGAGGGTCTGCAATTCGGCCTCGAGTTTCCTCTTGGCGCCAGAAATGGAGGCATTCTGGGCACTCAGTTCGTTCAACTGTTCGTGACAATCAGCAAGTTCCTGCTCGGCCTGGCGACGACCGCGATCTGCCTGTTCAAGGAGAGTGCGACTTTCTTCAAGCTCGTTCTGCAAAGCATTAGCACGGACGCTCCGAGATGCCAAGGAGTTCCCGGGCCTCGTCACGTGCTCTCTGCTCTTCCTCAAGCGCGGTCTGCACGTCCTTGAGCTGCTGCTGGTATCGCTTGATGTTCTTCTGTGCTTCAGCGTTTGCCTTG